CCCCAAAACCCCAAAACCCCAAAACCCCATGGTGGTACATTTTTAAGATATTACGTAATTTCGAGATAAAAAATTGTGAACTCATAAATATTTAGCATATATTTCATATTTTTGATGATTAAAACGGATAAATAGTTCCATTAATTCTCTCTTAATGACTATTATTTCAATCGCAGCACTTTGAATTCTTTTTCTTCTTTTTTTGATTATAAGTATCTTCCCCAATAACGCTTAGCTTCATATCGTTAACTTCCTTTTTCTTTGTGTTAATATAACTCTTCCTAATGCCCTGGTCTTAATATTGATTGCTTTATTGCTAGTGCTTATTCATTTCTATCTCTTGTGATTCTTGCTACTCCTGAGCTAACACTACCTTTTGAATTTCTTTGATCACTCTTTCATAAGCAAGATCTACATTATTCCCATCTAGGGCTGAAGTCTCAACAAAAGCTAGATGCTGATCCTCAGCGAATTATGCTGCCTCTTCTTTAGTCACTTCTCTTTTTTCAACTAAGTCAACTTTATTGCCAACAAGCAAGACAACTAAGTTATTATCTGCATGTTGCCTCAACTCCTTGAGCCATAGTGATGTATTTTAAAAACTTTTCCTATCAGTAATGTCATAAACTAGCAATGCACCAGAAGCCCCTCGATAGTAAACATTTGAAATAGATCTGTAGCGTTCCTATCCAGCTGTATCCCAAATTTGCGCCTTTACTATTTATTTATTCTCCAATTATATCATTTTCCTGGCGAACTGTACTCCTACTGTAGTAACAGTATTGTTATCGAACTCATCCTTGGTATACCTCATAAGTAGGTTAGTCTTACCAACTCTAGAGTCACCAATCATGACAAGCTTAAACAGGTAATCATACTCATCTTCTTGCATTTCAACTATAATAACTTTAATTATAACTATTTTGAGTAATTAGTCCAAATTATATTTATTCTGAATATACTAGAATTTATTTTTAGTTCAATTGCTCTAATTTATTTCTTATGGGGTTTTGGGGTTTTGGGGTTTTGGGGTTTTGGGGTTTTGGGGTTTTG